ACATCATGTAGATGCCCATGTACCAAGAGTCGGGCCACCGAGGAACACCAAAACAACCAACAAGTGGATAAAGCGGCTAAGATTGAAGCGGCTCAGATGGACTTAGATTGGCAACAACAAGGTGAATTATTTTTGGCTTGGTGGACCCATGACACTTCAGGCCATCAGGGCAGAGATGCAAAATACAGATGGGCTCATGATTGAGGGTTGGACTTACCAATGGACGCTATTGCCCAGGTTATTCATGAGTGTGAAACATGTGCTGCAATTAAACAAGCCAAGCGGTTAAAGCCTTTTTGGTATGGAGGACGATGGTTGAAGTATAAATATGGGGAGGCCTGGCAGATTGACTATATCACACTGCCACCAACCCGCCAAGGCAAGCACCATGTGCTTACCATGGTGGAAGCAACCACCGGATGGCTGGAAACATATGCTGTGACCCGCACCACTGCCCGAAACACTATCCTGGGCCTTAAATGGATTTTGTGGCAACATGGCACCCCAGAGAGAACCAAGTCAGACAATGGGACTCATTTCCAGAACAGCCTTATAAACACTTGGGTCAAAGAGCATGGCACTGAGTGGGTATATCACATCCCCTACCATGCACCAGCCTCTGGGAAAATCGAATGGTACAATGGGCTGTTAAAAACTACACTGAGAGCAACGGGTGGGGGAACTTTCACATTTACCAAAAGCCACCTGGGTGGTCAACCTATGAAGGAGACATTCCCTTACACTCCCAGCCCCCCCGCCAGACTATTTACAGCATCATTTGAGAGTTCTGAAGGTTTTGAATGGCCTTTAGATACCCCTGGGACCTGCCTGCTGATTGTGATGGGGATCACCATGTTGGCACACATACAGACTGTGTTTTGCCCACGACCATTTCATCTGATCTCAACAGTTAAGCACAGTTGGGTTTGGGTCTTGTCTAGGGTTAGACAATGATATAGGAGGCCCAACAGGTTTTCCTTGAGGCTGGACAGTCATGAGTGGCAGGGTGAGTGGGACAGTATGGGCAAGTATCCAGGTTTGAGGTGTGTTGTCATGCAAGAGAGGGACAACTCATAGCAACGTGCTGAGGCTTGGCCTACACCTACAGAGCCCTGTTCAACACTATCGAGCACCTTCAAAGGGATGTGATTGCAGGGCAAAGAACAAATCAAAAGAGTACATAGCTATTCAGCAGTGAAAGGGAGGCTTAGCAGCAAAGCACCATTCTGAGAGTCCTCAGACACTATCTTGGCATCCAAAGGCAAGGTGTGCAGAAGAAAAAGTTCAACATAGCCCTCAGGGTACAAGACAAGTAGACAGATACTGAAATGCTTATCACAGACATCTAACTTTCAGAAATGCAAGCAAAGTGAGTTTCATTTAAGCTAAGAGATGAGACTGAGGAAAGCATGAACATGAAAAGACTGCATGAGAAATACCTTCTATAATGTAAGAATTCTGAGTTACCAGCTGGGCTTAAACCACAACAGCTCTTTGTCATGATGCAAAATGAAACAAAACCTAAAAACGCAGATATCACTTCATTTGTAGATAATGAACACATTCCCTTGTGCCTGCAATGCACAGACAGAGAAACCTGGTGGGCCTAAGTCACACTTAGTAACATTTTTGTGTCCATGAGCAATGCAAGGACCATCACACAGGGAGCTGGGTTGACGTGTGGCAGCTTGAATCTCTGTCACCACTGTCCATTCATTGAACCATCCTACCTCTCCTTGAGTTCAATTAAAATCAAGCATTTACTTTAGAAGGCAGTCCCACCAGATTTCGTTTTTTCCAGCCCTAAAGCAAAACAATCTTTGCGAGTGCAGCTTTATTCTGAGCGTAAAAATAGCACTCTGGTATTCAACAAGTATGTTCCCGATTGCATATATAGTCCTGCTTTCTGTCTTAGGAGTCAGGGGGTCAGAGGTTTCTGATGTAACCCTAAAAGACAGAATAACTTTAGATAGGGTGAGGTAGGTATTATTCCTGCTTATCTATTTACTAATTTCATCTCTCCTACAGAGCCCTGCAAGGGTGCCTGCACATTTTACTAACAGCAAAATAATAGGCACAGAAGCAGTGATCAAGGATTAACCAGTGTGCTATAAATTTAAGGCACTAACTCACCAAACAACAGCCTATTTATGTGCTTATCTTCATAAACAACTAATTTCCTATTCTCCCTAGTATCATTTAAGCTCTAAATTCCAGATGTTTTCTCCTCACAGCACTCCTTTTCCTTTATTGCCTTTCAAAAGAAGGCAGGAAGGCCAGATGAAGGCTCCAGTTAGCCATTCTATCAACAGAATAATGATACTGGCACCAATGAATGGGGATATTCTGGAGCACTGTAAGTAGAACTGAAACCAGAATTCAATTCATAATTTTGTTTGCTGCATCCCAGGCTGTTGCTATGGAAATGAAGGTAAAATCCTATAATTATAAATTACCCGATGTCAACACAGTGTCTAGTTTTCATTTGCACATGCATTTATTATTAAAATTAGGGCCAGGCAAAGCCCAAAGCTGAAAAGTCACCCAGTGTTTGCTGTAGATGATAACAGACTTTAATGTTCCCTTGCTGGCTCAGGTGAAATATGTGTCAAAGCATCTTGGGTTCAGGTTCCTTCAGTGCTTAGATTCAGATTTAAAAGTACACATATCTAGGAACGGAGGCCAGCTCCATTTCAACGCCAAGCCAGAAAACCTCATGTTGGGAGCAAGGCCTGAACTGGGACGGCCACACTGCATGCTTTCATCCTGGTCATCAGCAGCACCAGATGAGAGGCAACTCAATGGGCAGCTCAGTACTGAATGGTTAAAGGTATTGCAGGTTAAGAGACCCTACACAGGGGTATGCTGCAGGGTAGCCAGCACCCACTAATTCACCCACAGTTAGCCAATGCCAACTTACCTGCCGCCTGTACTAGGTTATTATGGTCTATATTAAGAGAATCACAGAAATCATAGAATGGTTTGGGTTGGAAAGGACCTTAAGATCACCTAGTTCCAACCCCTTGCCATGGGCAGGGATGCCTTCCCCCAGACCAGCTTGCTCAAGGCTCTCTCTAACCTGGCGCTGAGCACTGCCAGGGATAAAGCATTCACAGCTTTCTTGGGCAACCTGTTCCAGTGCCTCACTAGCCTCACAGAAGAGAACTCCTTCCATATATCTAACCGAAGACTCTCCTGTTTAAGTTTAAACACATTTCGTCTTGTCCTACTGCTACAGTTCCTGATGAAGAGCCCCTCTCCAGCATCCTTGGAGCCTCCTTCAGATACTGTAAGGTTGCTATGAGGTCTCCACACAGCTTTCTTCTCACTTTCATGCACTCCAGCGTGCAAGTTCGCCACTAATGTGCACCCCTGGTGTGCTACACTTCATTAAGCAGATGCCTTCACCATCCTCCTGCTTCGGTTGCAAACATCTTCAGGGGACCCTGTACAAGACTGGCAGTCCCATTGCTAACAGCAAGCAAGTGCTCCTCTAACCTAAAAGTCTGCATTATGCCAAATCAAACAGAACCACCCAATATGAAAACTGGATATCCGTCAGGTAAAACAGTGGGTAAGGACATTATCTGTCATTCCCTCTCTGCCATCTGTACTGCTATTAAGCACATACCAACCTAGTTAATGCTCTGGGTCTGTTTAGATATAAGAGGCACCTCCAATTCTAAAGGCTGCTAATCACCAACAGCACCACTCGGCTGGAAAACACTGTTAAATCCTGTTTCAGATTGAGACTGCCACACTTACGTAAAGAGTACTCTCTGCAGGGGGGGTTCTTTATTTTAATGTTCTTTAATCTCACCTTCTGTTTTGCCTGTCGAATGCTGCAGCTCCCCCTCAGCCCACCCAATTTTGTGACCCCTGAAAGTTAAAAGTCCCTTCTATTTTCTTAACCACCTTGCCTTGTCACCCAAAGGAACAGGATGTCATGAACACAAAGGCAGTCGCATTGGCAGATCCAATAGGGAAAAAAAATGCAGCTAAGCAACTTTAAAAACTTTTTCCTAAAAAAAAAAAACAAAAAACCAAACCCCAAACCCATAGGAATATGAAAGATCAGGCTTTCTGTAACTATTTTAGTGTATGAGGTGTCATACACAGCAAACAATTAGCAGTAGAAAAAACTGAGAAAAGGGATGAGCTGCTTGGGAGCATTTGGAGAAAACCCACGCTGATTTGCTGAATCAGCAAGAACACATGAACAAGTGGCAGCTTTGGATTCAGCAATAATCTTCCCAGTTTTGATGAGAAGCTAATGCTACGGAGCCCCCAAACAGCACCTCGCAAGGACACCAGTGACCTGGCCTAAGCCATGTTTCCCTCCTTCAGACCAGAGACTCACTGACAGGCTTCATCCTCTGGATAGTTACTCTGGTCTCCTTCCTATTTCTCAGGTGAGGCTTCCTGGGTTTCTCCTGTGGGAACCTTTCTGCTTTGCTAATCAAACACTCACAGAGTCTCCTGCATCGCAGGTGAATACCTCACATCCTTGGTACATCTACGCCAGGAAAACTGTCTTGTTCTTGGGGAGAGGGGATGGGAAGGAAGAAAAGTTCTGAAAGACTCTGGGGTTTTGCGTTCACTCCAGTGAAGAGACTGTATCCATCTAATAAGAACAGAAATGTAATCTGCTTTCTGTATCCCTGTTGTATCCCTGTTGTTCTACCTGCACCAGCATTTGGGATAAACATAGCTATCCCACAGTATGATTTTTACAAGCAGCGTTCACAAAACCCATCACAGATGAAGCAAATGGCAGTGTATTCTGTTGGGCTCCATGGTGAAATTAACATACAATTGAATGAAACATACTTGCATGTGCTGTGCCCTTCTGACAATATGAAGGGTATGCACCATTTTGTTTGTTTTCAGGGAATGATGCAAAAGAGAGGGCACAACTTACGTTTTCACCAAATGGAAAACACAAGGGAAAACACTATAATCTGCTTAGTAACACAGGTTGCTACAAACACATCAGACCGCCTATTTGCCAAGGCAGCATGCAGTTCAGCACCTGCAAAGCAAGTCTGGGCAGCAGGATTTCCCCTAGAGACAGATCCAGACTTCAGGGTGCATCTCCCCTGCTCCCCCTAAAATGCCCCAGAGCAGCCACAGATCCCACCATCATCAGAGCTGGAGGCAAAACTCGCTTCTTCCTTTCCCTTCATCATGTCGATACATGTGAACCTGTTCTCAGGCAAATGAAAAAGCCATGGTAATTTCAGCAGTAGGAAAGACAAAAAATGGTAAAAAGAAAAAAGCATGTGTGTATTCCTAAAAACATGTGTGTATTGTATATTCTGGCATATAAACAAACACATGAGCAGCACTCAGGTATTCCAGCAGTACAGCCCCTGTAAGTACCTGTAAGTGCATACAGGCCACAAGTCTGCTTTCAGTGATGAAATTTAAAATCTGCCATTACAGAACAGTGGCCTGAAACCTTATACAAGTGACGTGAGTTAAGGATGGAGTAACAGCCTTTACACTCAATTTCCTGGCTTTCCTTGGTTTGCGTCACACCCTTAATGTTATTTCAACATTGCGTTTTGTCCTCTAAATTAAATATACAGTAGGTGTTTTGTATTTAATTTCCTTACTGTTTTTTTTTTTCCCCCCTCCTAAAGGAAAAAGAATGGAAGAGATTCATGAAAGGTTATAAAACACACATTGTGTACTGGAGAGGCTGGAGTAGCTCTTTTGGAGCCTTTTCGTTCTCCTGGGAAAATATGTAATTAGGTAGTTTTTTAACATGTGTATTATGTACTGAATTACATGTATTTATACATTTCTCAAAGGAGTATTGCTTACACAATAGCCTGGAGCAACTCTTTTGGAGCCATTTGGGTCTATCATGTAATTATGTACTTAGGACCCGTTTATAGCAAATTTTGGTGTGCCTACGTAGTAGCTTTTTATTTTGGATGAATTTTCAGGCTTGTGAAGGGTGCTACACTGACAGCCCTGGAGACTGCAGGCTTCTGTTTACTTGCAGAAAGGGAAAACACGAGTAAGGAAGATGTGGGCATCCCCAGACTATCCCTCCAAAATTTACCTTATCCCTGACTTTGGGAACAACTTCCTGAAGTAGGTGGGAAAAGATTCCCTACTCAGTTTTGTCAGCAATTTGTTACTGCAGGTTTGGGGATGAGGACAGCTACCCACCTGGAACTGAACTCATTAAAAAAAGTAGTTCACATAGGCTGCTAAGTATTTGCCATCTGCTAATCTGCAACTTATCTCATTTCTTTTTCTTTATATATATATATATATATGAATAGAATATTATTCTTGGAAGCAGAATTCTGTAAGGATTTATGTGCTGTGAAACAGACACAGGCACTATGAAAAGGGGTATTAGATATGTTTGTACCTTCCCAAGATACAGCTTTCCAAGTCTTTAAACATCAGAAAGAAATTCAAGTGTTTGTGGCACTTTTTTCCTGGAAAGAGAGAATGCAGAAGCCAAAATAGTTTTTGCTTAAAATCATAAACAAACAAACTCCCTCTCTCAACCCAAATACAGTGTAGCTAAAATGACTTCATGCGATGCTGCCAAGAAAGCATGGTGACAGCCGTAATGTAAATGCATAGATGGATGTATTTTTACATTATTTCAAGAAGGAAAATGGCTTGCTCTGAATGAAAGAAGCTGAAGTCATCAAGCAGTAGATGCTGGGCGAGTAACAGACTTTCTTACCCAAAACCACCCCAAACCCCACTTGATACTAACTCCCACATTTAGTCTGACACCCATCCTCCTAAATGTAATTTCTTCTTGCTTGGATTTATTTAACTGCTTTGGTTATTTCAAAGGTGTATGCCATGGTTTGGGGGGTGTGTTTGTGGGTTTTTTAAGTCTTGTTTTAAACAAAGTTATCTTAAAACATTTTTCATTTGAAGGAATTGTGCATTTCCCAAGTAACACTTTTCATTTAAAACATATTGCAAGAAACGCACTTAATTCTCTTCCTTTAATTAAAACATGACTGGAATTCAGCCCAGTCTGTGAAGTCCTAAAACCTTCCAAAACTAACTTTTGGGAAACAATTCTATACATAAGAAAGCCTTCATCCCAGTCTCCTAAGGAGCAGTGAAGACCATGATGTTTGGCTCCAGCTTCCCTTTTCCTTAACACCATGCTGTGGAGGAAGGCATGAAAAGTGAGGTTAATGATGGAGGTCAGTACCAGAAATGTCTGGGTATTTTTCACTCTCTCTCAGGGCAGTGTTTTCCAGAGCATGAGCAGAAATGGCACACACACTACCTTTTCCTTACTGCAGTTCATTGATGGCACAGAACAGGAGCAAGCTACGGACAATGTTAAGGCAAGGCACATTCCCTATCCTACACTGAAGGAATGTGTAAGGAAAAGCAATCAAAACCGGGGGAAAATTACCATAATTGACACATTGCTGACTGGGTACCACTACAATCTTTAAGGTTAACTATGCATTTTGCCAGAAAAAGTACAGAAAGTACTTTTGTACACAGAGTACAAATTTCAGCAAGTTACAGCTGACTCAAATCAAAGCTACCAAAGTACTACATGTCAATCTGCTCCCCAGGAAGCTATTTCTGTGCCTGCTTCAGCTTTTTCTCCTCAGCTCTTTCTGCAACAGAGAGGTCCACCACCAAGTTTGCATGCACTTACTTTTTAAGCTTTAGGGAGGAGAGGGGTTCCTAAAATATCACTGATAAATAAAGAAGCAAGCCTGGAAAGTTTCAGCTCAAAAGGCCAAAGATTCAGAAAGAACAGAAAACAGCAAGTGAAAACAGAAACACTGTAGTTTCATGGGTGCTGTCATTCAGCACGGATGGATGGTTCAATAGGCAGACCATGTGGTCGAAAAACAGACCGGTGTTGTGGCATCATCATGCTAGCCCGCACATCCCCAAATCCTCTGCACTCCGGTTCCTTTACCTGCTCAATGTATACCATAGTGCTAGTCTAACTGCAGTACAGAAGGGAATGTTTTGATCATAAGCTTCGAATTTAAAGGTCTTATGAATTTTTAGCATCAAAAGAAAAAAAAAAATCACTTAGAATTATGAAAAAGTCCTTCTCTGTACTGTCTTTTCTGAGATACTGCTGCCACTTCCAGTCAGGGAAGCTACGTTTTCTCCTTTGGGTTACACAATTAAAAGCTTAATCCTGCATTTCTTCCTTACAAGAGGAACCTTATTAATATGAAAGCCCCAGAGGTACCAGTAGGCATTCTGGCATCCAGTGTCACATGTACAGGCACAAGGGGTGCTAGAAACTTCCCCAGACCGTTACAGGACATTATTAATACAGCTGTAATTTAACACCACTACTTTAGCTTTCAGAAGGAGAAGGTAGTTTTCATGGCAGAAGGCCACCACCAGTGGCAGGACATGACCATCACCACTGTACCAATGCATGCAGTTAGGAATACAGGGCCAGAACAAAGCTGTACACCCATGAAGCCTGGGGCTCTGTACACACAGGCAACTATGCACCATAATCCATCTCATTGCCCAGAACAAGTATTTTGTGCCCAAGTTGCTCCCAGTGGAAGGCATTTTCAGGATCTCACTACAGTGAGGGGTAGAAACCATCTGATTTCCAGTTTAAGCCTATTCAGGGCCAAGTTTATGCCCACTTGTTCTTATGCAAATATTGCTCTTGGGTTTAAATAGTTTTTTCCCCTCTCTGGCATTTAGCCCTGGATGTATTTATAGAGTGCTGTCAAATCCCCTCTCAACTCTATTTTGCTAAACTAAACAAGCCAATCTCTTACAGTCCCTTCCCATAAGATAGGCTTTCCAAACATTTACTACCTCCGCAAGACTTTCCATAGATTTTGTATGCTCTAGCTCCAATTCAACTTTGACATAGTTACTTTAAAAAAAAGTATGCAATATCCTAAATTAAGCTGTCCAGTATCTTGTACAAGGGTACCAGTGAGGTACCCGAGGTATCTGGCTTCTCTGCAGTTTCACCACTGTCCCACCATCACCACGTCACTAGCTAGAATACGATTGACAAAGTTAACTTCGAAGGTTTAGTCCAAGACTCAGCCACACGCAGAAGTAGCACAGTTAGTTAAGCATGAAGAGGGTCATTCCAATCCTCAGCACTGCAATTCCCTAACAGGTCAGAGAGGGACCTGCGTGTGTGCAACATCTCATTTTTAACACAGACACTCCAAGCGTCCTCAGCCACTAACCTTTACAGAGCATGCATTAAGAATACAAATGCATTAACAGCATCCCCTAGAAGGTTCTTCTTACTGTTGTTTTCCTTATGGTGGCATCTAAGGTTGCTCTTTAAGAAGCTCACTATGGTATGCATTAGGTAACAAGGTGGCATTAGGACAGCTGCTACCTGTCTATTTTACAGCCTATGGCTCTGAAAACAGGCCAGGTAAAAAGGTTAACAATAGATAGGATAACAAAAGACAATAACAAGGCACTGTAAGTTAATACTTATCAGCATTACTTGAGGCAGCCTACCTTTTTCCTTTCCTCAATTTCAACTCACATATGTTGCTTTGGCACTTACCCTGAGAGCAGTTTATGCATTACAACTTCTGCAGCATATACACTCCAAGATTTCCATAGATGCACATATATAGAGGCACAACCAAACCCCTGTTACCCTTGCATTTTACCAGGTACAGACTTAACAGAAGGAACTGTAAGTCCTGAAGCACCTTCCCTTTCACAAATAGTGCAATCCTCACATTATCCTAAAAACTGATACCATACCACCAGCTGAAGCTAGGCTTACAGGTTCAAAATCCTTACACATATAGGTGAGTTCCTAAAAGTATAACCCACCTTTCCCTTCTTAATATTTCAGAAGTAGTCTTACATTTTAGTGGCTTAGAAACAGGGTTTTCTACTCACTTGTTCACATTCCCAAATCTGTGATACCAAAAGCACAATCAGTGGCCTGCAAAACAGATATTTATAGACAGTGTAAAGGCACAAAGATTAATATATCAGGTTAAGGTAGAAATAAAGGCATCATTTGGGCCTTGGTTCTGTCTTTCTTAGCATGTTTGGACTTCTTTGAAGTGTAAATTTAACTTTCAATTACAACATTTCTGTAATGTTTTACCCATGCATCGTAGAGTTGCGCAAGCATTACTTCCTCAATTTTTATTCTTAGAAGAGAAACACACGAACCCATTATACAAGAAATCCAAAAGAGCTTGCTGCTGCATCGCCAAGTCACCAACAATACATGATGGGTAGAGGTCATTTTGAAGTTCACATCCTAGGTTCACCTATTCATCCCAGGCAGGGCTTACATTCTCAGGAGCTCTGCATTTCCACAGCTCTAGAAGGTTGCTTGAGCCCCACTAACACACATGAACATGGTATTTACAAGAGCAGCCAGCAGAACAGCAGCGACAAACTACCAGTGAGAAGATCATGCTGGTAGCTCTCCTAACAACACTCACAGCACACGGAACCGTTGCAAGCAGTTTGGATACAGAGGGTAGCAGCCACATTCCCCATGTTATAACATGAGCACTAAAATACTACTGTTTGGCACATTTTATAAGCTCTTAGTGATTAGGTACAACTGTTCATACATGTATATTTTTAAATATAGTGAACACAAATCTTAAACACAAATTTAATGACAACAGGTTTGAAGTGACAGAAGACGATACCTTTCTTAAAAAGAATCCAGTTTATGTTCCTTCAGGTCAGATAACTTCATTCCTAGTTCTGAGAATATTTAGCCAGTTACTAATAAACAAATAAATATATGGGGTGAACTTCCACTTTTACTTTTCAGGAAAAGGTTAAAATTCCAGATTTGGATGAAAACAGAACTCATACTCTCTTCCACTGGAGATGATCTTCCCTGTAAGAACTTCCCACAGAAACAGTCTGCATATCAAACTGTTTTCTTTTTCATTTAAAGCTCCCTGTAGCTTTTTGGAGTTAGGTACGGGTGTTGTTTTGGTATTTGGGATCTTGGGGGGGCTTTTGGTAAATCTGTGGAAACGTTAGTAAAGTCACGTCAATGTCGGTTTGTATTGTCCCAGCAGCAGCTGAAGTTGCTTTGAAGACGCTCACTAACACAAGGCGAATACTTGGCAATCACCTACAGCAAGAATTGAAGCATGCTTGAAACGCTCAGGGAATGGGTATTTCAAAAGCACCTTCAGATTTGAATGCTCAGTTCCCTTCCAAAGAACCTTTGAATACATATTCATCAAAACAGGGAAACTTACATTCTGGCATGAGCCGTTTCCACAAAACCATGACAAAGGATTAAAGTTGTGAGATGCAATAATTTAGAATTTATATATTGAGATCCTTTTCTTCGTTCATCCTTCTTAAACATAAATTAACTCTGAGAATCTCTTGCAAATTCTTTATTCCTCAAACTGAAACCTTATGGAAAAGAAACTTGCAATATGGCTTGAAGTATAAATTTCCGTCTGGGAGAAATAGTTACTTGCTTTTATATCTCCTTAGGGTCAGTAAAATAAAAGATTAGCCATCAATTTTAGGCTTTTCTATTGTAATGTGTCTGAGTATATGCCTCATCCTTCCTTCATTAGATTGTAAAAGAAGGCCTCCATGGGAGCTTATAAGAAAGATAGGGACAGACTTTTTAGCAGGCCCTATAGCAATAGGACAAGGGGTGATGGTTTAGACCAAAGGTGGGGAGATTCAGACTAGATATAAGGGAAAAATAATAAAAAATATACCTGTAATGAGAACAACAAAACTCTGGAATGAGTTGCCCAGAGAGGTGGTAGATGCTCCATACCTGAAAGCAAAGGTCAGGTTTGATGGGGCTTTGAGTGACCTGATCTGGTTGAAGATGTCCCTGCTCATTGCAAGGGAGTTGGACTAGATGACCTTTAACAGTCCCTTCCAAGCCAAACCATTCCATGATTCTACAATCAGGTTTTGAATAGAATGGATCTAAGTCATGTTTTGTTATAATGACATCTTTTGTTTTTAAAAGGCATTATGATAAAGAAACTAAATGCACTTATATGATAAATACAGGGTCAGGAAAAATAAACCATACTTTTAAAGTACTTTTACATGTCTGATAACAGTTCATAGAACAATATTGTTGTTCCTTTTCTCAATAGAAAGAAATGTTAACAGGGAGCAAGCCAAAGACAGGAAGGGAAGGGAGGTGTCAAGGATTCCTGGGATGTCTGATCTACTGTAAGTGGGCTCAGTTCCTCAGCAAGCTTTGTCCCTTAGCAGATGCAAGGGGCAAGAAGGCCAAAGACTGGCAACGGCTATGGCTGCTGTTTTACAAGAAGCATACTGAAAGAGCAGCCTAAGGCTTTTACAATACTCTGAATAACCCTTTATTTTCGTATCTTTCCACACCGATATAAGACTGTGCTTGAGCAGCAAGAGTGACAGTTGCAACACCAATAGTTATCATACCAAATCCAATCTGTTTAGCTTCATTTAAACAAGCTAGATTTCTAAACATTCTTTTATCCCTTGAGCTGGAAGAAGAACATCTCTTATTTATATTAGTTGCTTAAGACTCCCCTGTGCTATGTGCTGCACAGTGGTATTGTGAGAGCGTTCCATCCCGAATCACTCACCATATAAACAGAAGAGATACAGGAGATACTATTTTTCTTGCTTATAGTAATACAGACCCAAGTCACAGAACAACTCAGAAGCTTTACTTAAGGTCACATCGGACACCTGTAACACAGCTGCAATATCACTTTTAACTCAGACCTGTCACATCCTGCTGTTGCTGTCTACCAACAGGATTGGTGACAGCCCTCAAGAGAGGCTGAGGCTGTCACTGCAGGCTCATCAATGCAATGTTCCTGCCGACTTGCAGTTCTCAGCTCTATCCGTGTGCAGCCCCAGGCTTGTTCTAAGCATTAGCACTATTCAAAGCTCCCAGTGAAGCTGGCTCACGCTTATTTGCTAGAAGCATTTGTAATGCTTCAAAGGTAGCTCCTCCACAGCAATCTCCTACTGCTAAACTCAGGGTGCCCATCTCTCATTGCAAATGTAAGAATTGCTCTAAAGAAATACCTATGAATATTCCTTTATCCATGAACCCAATGTAACTTTACAAATACAATAAGATGAGACGAGACATGGCTAAATTCTGAGCACAAGGTAGCTACTGCATACAGCAGAAGGGGTAAAACGGTCCATTAGGACAGCCGACAGTGATACAAATTGTTTAAGCAAATGCAGTGCTACTGAACCTCAGCAGTGCTCTGCGGGTTTGGAGAAGCCCACAAACACCACATGCACACTAATTAAGCACAAGGTAAAGCCATAAACATTTTAACAGTAACCACGGCACTTTGGGAGGCCTGACTGCCCACTGTGGCTGCGTGCTCTGATCTGGCAGCTCCCTCAGGACCTTCTTTCCATCACATCACAGGCCACAATGACCAGCATTTCCAGAACAGACGTATTCTTAACGCTGTATTTCGAGAGGCACTCTGGAAACATGGATACGCCTGCCACTTCCACATCCCATTAATTCTGGGGCATAAAATAACCAAGCGCACACTCCAGCATTTCAGCCCTGACAAGCACTAAAGAGCCTTTTGGTGAAAGGGAGCATATGTCCAACTGCTTAGCAAAATCAGGGCCTTCATCATAGACACGGGCAATTTCACAGTCATTAAAATTAGGCTTGGTTCTATAAAGGTCTATTGCACACGGAATTTGCTGATAGAAAGTAAACATTGACTGTATATTCTATTACAGCACATAAACAGCAGGTTGGTTTTTAAACCTGTATAACTATTACATATGTACTACTTAAAAAAAGTAAAATTCCCTTTAAAATATATTAAAGCCTCATTACCGCACTCAGTTAAGAGCAGGACTGACATAAGTGCTAGTGCAAAACATCAACAAACCAGAGCATAAATCTTTTGAGTCCGGAAAAGACTCCTTTCATAGGTTATTTTTTAATTCTACAGAGCAACAATGTAATCATCAAGCAAACAGAGAAAGCGAAGGATTGAAAACCAGCCTTATTTTTCACCAACGTAAATGCATTCACCTCATGGAACAACCAACGAGTTATTTCTATGGTCTTCCTGTTATTTTACCTTCTGGAAGGAAAATCTATTTGAAAAGGTGGTATCTTTGCTTGCATACACACATACATTATATATGAATATATATTTGTTTTCACACGCATGCAGCTACATGGAGAGCAGGGCTGTCCAGACACATGGCCCCAACATCCAGTCTTCTCTGTGAACCGCAGCAATACAAGCAGACAAAGTTCATTTCTTCTTTTTAAGGTATGTAGGACAACAGTTACTGTCTAAGTAATGATGTGAGGCTGTTGTCCAGGACAGCAGGGAAACAAGGGACAAAGAACACGTTTGGAACACCCTGGCAGACTTGAGACGAGTGAAAACTCCAGTAACATGAACCTTATTATATCAGCCTGCCCTCATTTATTGAGGCATGGCTTGTTGTTTTAGCCAGTCGTTAAACCTCCAGCAAGCTGCTGTCTTCAAACCTTGGGACTTCTCCTAGTAAGGACCTGGGCAGACTCCCTCCAGCTAGAGGAAAGCATGAAGCATGGGAAATTTCAAAGCAGCAGACAGAAAAGGCTTCAAAGGGAAAAAGAGACGGATCTTTATATAGGCCCAGACCCAGTCAGGTATGTAAACATTTGCACAGCTATAAGCTGTAGGAGTACTCCCATTGTAATCAACACAATCTCTTAAACATGCTTAACGTGAGGCTTATGCTTACATACCTGGCATAAATGGAGACAGAACAAGCAACCACGGGGCCTGCTTACAGGGGGTTTCTAGCACACGTGGACAGGGAAAGATGGGGCCACAGACCCAGCTCCATGCTTTCCTACAAGCAACTGATAATTCTGGATGCGCAGTTAGAGCAAGGATGATATTTAGAGATACTAAAATAAACATGGGAAACATATATAAATACACAAATAAAAATACATATAAATGTATGTGTGTGCACATGTGCATTTTTATATATATTTTTGTGGGGGGATATATCTCTCTCTCTCTAAATCAGGCCAAAAGTGACAAGATGAGTACTCAGAACTTCTGAAGCTCCCAAAGCTAACAGCAGATGCTGTTACAAACTAAGACCTAAATGTCAAGTACCAGTGCTGCTTAAGTGCTACTTAATTAAAATGGAAGAGAACTAGCTTTGAAGTACTAATTCAGTCATTCACAAGGTTTTTATACATTCACAGCAAGAACCTGACTTACCCCTCAGGCACTCCAGCAACTTCAGGCACTCTAAGTTTTCACCTAATGGCTTTTTATTTGTGGCAGTACCACATTATGCATGTGAACAAGAAAGCTGTCCTGATCTCTAGGTATCCACTGTCTGGGTATGGTCCATAACTTCCCTCTTACATTTTGCAGCATAGAGCATCTTTATTCCACAAAAGTGACCTTTACTCACAACAATATTCCACCAAGGACACTAATGGCAGAAGACTAAATCACAAATCAAGCAGATATTCTGAACACTTCAGTGAAACAAATGGATATAGTTGTTAAACACAGTTTAGCATAAGATATATTTGAGTTCCAAACAGAACTGGGAGCCAGTTATCTGTGCAACAGGAGCAGAACCTTGATCAGTGCTTTTTACTGATGGAAACACTAAAGCCTGTACTACATAAAAGGAATATCTGATACATCACAGACCATGCAAAAGCATGAATTAAAATCAATGGACATATGGAATCCACATGCGAGTAAAAACTGAGGGTTAATTATTCATATATTACTATACAATCAATGAAGAGAACTTAAATGTCAACCTGTGCTCCAGAATTTTCAAGTCAGTAAGATTCCATTATTAATCTTGAACTAGATTAATTACATGCACCAAAATGTTTTAATAACACAACAATAAAGAACAAAAAAAAGACTGCATCAAGTCAAATCATCCAAATCAGAATCTGTTTTCTAAAGAAAACAAGAAGAAAAATACCATGTTTAGAAACGCATTTAAAAACCAGCTCTTGCTTTTTCCACAAGATATTAAATTTTGCTTTAAGGAATTTCTGTGCGTCACCACAATCCACAAATAGAGATTTAGTTTCTTCAAGCCCTTCTTGAAAAGGGACCTACACCACATGCATTAAGTCTTAAAAGAAAAAAAGAAATCAACTCTTTCTTCTGCTTTTTGCAAAGATCAGGAAACACCAATCCTCTATTTCAGCTTGCAGAACGTTCTTCTGGCTCTGCAACTCTTGCCAAAAATCCATTCTTTATCTTAAGCAGATAAAGAATGCATTTAACATAGAGCACCTTCTTCTTCTAAACACTCACGTAGCTTTCTGAAGGTTAACAGATGGCATCAGAAAGAGTAACAAGAACCTGAACTTTTAGAAAGGTTTTCAAGATTGGAGCTCTTTGTTATATTGCTGTTAGCTCCCATACAACCAAACAAAACTGGCATTGCCTTTTAGGCAAAGCTTCTGTCATCTAATTCAAACTCAGAAGACTGTCATGATTTAACTCCATTGGATGACATAGCTGCATCTCTTTACGTACCTTCCAGAGATCTCTTTTCAAAGCAGAAACGCATGTTCCCTTAATAAGGGAGATAGGACAGCTTTGCTGTAGCACCATCGCTACACCACCTTGCCATGCCAACAAGGGTGGATACTTTCCTAATGATGGCAGCAGAAAGCTAAGGATGGTGGGAGAGACCACAGTTCATGGCTCTACTGCATTTGAGACTAAGTGTGCTCTTAAACAACATGCCTCTGCCTGTTTTTCACTGGGAGATTAAGCTTACATCCTTCAAGATTTAAGAACCTGTACTAAAAAGACAGGACATTACTGCCTTATAGCCAGTGCTGCCTTTACGCATACCCAGCTATTAGCCATAGCCCTCTAGTCACCATTTGTCTATATGGAAGCGCATGGTTCCTGCCACGCAGTGGAAGTGCTAAGCAAGCATGATCTCTGCAGTTTCCAGTGGAAGAGGTGGAAAACAGAAATCCAGTCACTGGAGCAATGAGTTTGAAGTGGTAAACTTGGTAAAGTTCACCACCACCACCTCTGTTCTGATTTAGCAAGAGTTAAAGAAGTTAAAGGATTAGAGGGAAAAAAAGTGAACGAAAAAGTAATGTTATTTTAGAAAAGTTAATTCCTGGAATGATTGCTGCCAGGGGACCACAGCAACAGAGCAAACAAAGAGGCAGAGATTCAGGGTAAGTCTTTCCTATCAAGTTGGCATACACCCCAGAGATCGTTCAGCAGTTCTCCAGGATCAGGGAGAGAAAGTCAGCTGTGGGAACCTAGCCTTGCCTTTGCAGGCATCAGCAACCTTGTAAACACCCAGTAAAAGGACTCTAAAGTGAAGAGAAGCACAAAACCAGGCTGGGTTCCCAGCTGGTGTGAAGCGGTGTCATTCCACCCACCATGGAGAGCCAAGCTTCATGCTTTCGGCTCCCCTATTGAAGCCGTGCTCCCAGGTACCAGTGGCCCTTACGGGGGGAGCAGGCATTGCAACGCAACTGCATGCAGAGGCTCTGTGGGAATCTCCCTCCCTGGCCTTCATGGGCAGCAGAGTCACTCCCATGCTGCAGCAGGCACACACGTTTCTGTGATGCTGTTCCAGACCGTATTAAGGGATGAGGATCTGGCCTTTGACAGGGCACCCTCAAACCGCCCAGTAGCACAGTGCCATGGGCCACCACACTCAAAAGCACTGGAAGGAACATATTTGCCCCTTATCCACAATAAAAAAGGGGCAAAAGAAGATTAGCCTTAAGTTAACCACACAGGACTCCCCCAGGCACCATTAAGCAGAGCTAAAAGCCAGGACAGAACAAGAACAGTTAAACTGCATCCCTCTCAGAGTAACCATTAAAAGAAAAGCCCTTGTCTTCAGCCAACGGCAAATCCAGTATTCTGCAAAAGTGAATTAAAGTTGCTGGAACAGAGTTTTTCTGAAGCAGTTTACATTGGACAGATCACAAGAACAATAATCACAAAACATGCTTTCTGTGAACCTTCCAAATTATCACATTTCTTCTTTTGACAACAACAAAGAACATTCAGAAGGGGGGAAAAAAAGTCTGAAATCTAAGGGATAAGTGCAAGGCAGTTTTAAGGGTTAAGGAACTGAAATAGGAACAAAAGCAATAAAAGAAGAGTCAGGTCTTTTGAGTGTAGCCCAAACCCATAGTGATAGAAGAAATCAGATACTTTCTTGGTGACATAGTCCAAGAGCACAAGAAAGCGAGCCAGTTTTCCCAGAATTTATAGCTGATGAACAAGACACTAGTCATTCATACAACTGTAACATCCAAGCAAAATCAGTACCTCATTATGCTGCTCAAACACACAGACAGTCGTGGTCCAAAGAGACTGCAAAGCAACTGGATAAACCAAAGAGCAACAGAGAGTAAAGGCAAGCAAGAGAAACCCTTCATCCGCAGGGAAACAGAAAGCTAAGGGGACGCCCTTTTGTACACAAACCACCTGCCATTAATTTCTGATCATGAGCTTCAGGTGAGACACATCATTGCACCTTGGGCTTTTTTAACTTGCAAACCTGCAGCGCTGTTAATGCTTTAGAAGTTTTGCTGGCTTTACTTTCCCACAGACAGGCTTTCTGACAAGCCTGGGGGTAAAATACATCAAAGAGCATCTCGCACTTGCAGATTCAGCATGATAGAGTGGCCCAAATCATATGGCTGACAGTCAGCAGGAGCTGCCCTGCCCCACAGCCCCCCTTGACTCCTGTATAGCTTTACAAGGCATCTCAGCTGCATTGGAATGGATTTCAGGAGACCTTTCCTTTCCAAGAGACAGAAACAGGGACCAAAACACCTTTTGATTTCCAAACCCCTCACAAGGCCTCCCTCCTTCATCTGGTTCCCCAGCCCCACACTCACATTGACTCCTCCCTGAAGACCAACTTCTTTCCTCATCTGGTGTAAGCTGCGTGAGTCCAGCTGGCTCCTAACCCCCCTTCATGGGCACAGGTGCCCATATCCCCTGCAATGCCCATCACTGCCTTTCTTGCAGGAGAAGGGAGGAAACAGCAATACCCCTCACCTCTGCCTTAATTCTTGGGTTTGGGGTTCCTTTTAAAGGAGTCAAGCTGCAAATCCACTGCTGGGGTGCCCATACCCAGCTGCTCCCCTGGAGCAAACACCCTTTGCATTGGCAGTGTAGCCTAGAGATGTAAAAGCGGGGACATTTTTCAGATGGTAATGTCCAAATTAAGTGACATTTGAGCCCAAATACTCTTTCACAGAATTTCAGTTTCTTCTGAACTTTAAATAGGAAAAAATAAGATTTCAGCATGGCAGGTTGAAAGATGAGTTACTGACATTAATGTCTGGGTAACAGTCTGAGCGGCTGGTTTTCCTCCTCTGGAAGCTGATGCAGTTCCACTCTGACTTTCATTTACACTGTATGGTTTGACATGACTATATGTAATTCAATTTCTCTTTATTTTTCAGTTTGAGAGCAGGCTGCAAAACTGGGGATTAGCTGAAATCCAATGGAATCTTTTTTTTTCCTTTTTTTTTCCCTGGTGGAAGATTTCAGTAACAAATCAGCAAGGCTTGAATGACAGGCTTAGCAAGTCTTGGGCAGCTTAAGATGTATTCTGTATTGGAACATGCAAGATTTCAAGCCACTTTTCATTGCTTTCCCTTCTTCTGGAGTTCAAATATTTCAGCATTTCCTGGAATTCATAGGAGCATTACAAATATAATCAGACTGAAACTCACTTTCAAAACGTTTTGGCATCACTCAGACCTACTTTTAAGCGTAGGCCAAATTTCATGATCATTTGTGTCCAGGAAGTTCAGAGGTCTCCATGCACACACCTTGAAAGCAAAAAAACCCATCTGAAATTCATAAGTGTGGGTCCCATCTTTCTATCTGAGAAAGGTGGAGTGAAAAGTTCAAGACCAAAAACTTTATAAAATCAAGTCTATTAATGAAACGCTGAGTGAGAATGTATCAAAGGCAAA